TCTGACTTATTTTTCTTAGCATTAGGCTTTTGGGATTCATCCGGTTTGTCACATGTATCAGTAGTTTGTTCCTTTTTCTTGCTGAGTAAGTGTCCCAGTTTTATTTATTTGTTTATTTATTTATTTATGAGAAGGAGTCTCACTCTGTCACCCAGGCTGGAGTGCAGTGGCGCGATCTTGGCTCACTGCAACCTCCGCCTCCCAGGTTCAAGCAATTCTCCTGCCTCCCCAGTAGCTGGGATTACAGGCGCCTACCACCATGCCCAGCTAATTTTTATATTTTTAGTAGAGACAGGGTTTCACCATGTTGACCAGGCTCGTCTCAAACTCTTGACCTTAGGTGATCTGCTTCCAGCTCCCAAAGTGCTAGGTTTGCAGGCATGAGCCACCGCGCCTGGCCCCAGTTTTATTTATTCACCAGTTGATGGTCTTTTAGACAACTAATTGTTTCCAGTTTTTGGCTATTCTGTATAAGGCTTCTATGAATATTAACAAATACCTAGGATGGGATGACAGGGTCATATCATAATACTATACATAACTTTAGCAGAAACTGTCAAACTATTTTCCAAAGTGGCTCTTCCATTTTACAATTCCACAGTGTCTTGAGTCCCAGTGTCTCCATACACACGCTAGCACTTTTAATTTTTAATTTAGTGGGCATGTAATGATACCTTATTGTGATTTTAATTTGCATTTCTCTGCAACTAATGATGAGTGTTTTTGCTTATTTGGGAAGGTTTTAATTTAGCAGTCTGTTGTATTCTGTAGATATTAAGAACTTCAAAATATCAGTGGCATTTGCAGTTAAAATTTCTTTAAAAAATTGGCCAAAGGTTTCCAGCCGTCACTTCTGCCATGCCCAAACTGTATGAAACAAGGCTGAGGTGTGGAGATGGTCACATTTTGGCAAGGGGGGATCACTTGGGTGACTGATGAGACCCAGAGAGAGTGTGCCTTGGGGCTTGAGGGTGAGGACGGGCGGAAAGTCGACTGCATAGCCCTGCTGGCCTTGGGGGCTACCCAGTCCTTAGCTAAACCTGGCGGTTATGGGAAGCAGACTTAGATTCTATTATATTTTTCAGGATGCCCCAGGAGTCACCTGGGCAGCTCAGCAGTCCTTTGTGACTTTCAAGCATATGGTAGAAGCTGCTGAACACAGAGCTCCCTCTCTGGGGATAATTTGCCCAAATCATTTAATCAAGCTTGAGAAATGAGTTACCACAGGCCCAGGAGTGCTACCACCCTTGAATTCTGGCACCCTATTTCTCCTGTCCATCTCTTAATTAATTAAGCAGACATCCCCGAGAGTTTACGACAAGCCAGGACCCTTTTGCATACTAAGGAAAACAGGAATGAAGGAAACAGGAATGGTCCCTGCTCTGACTCAAAAGGTAGAAATCCTCTTTCACAGCCGAGCCTTCCTAGGGAGCACGTAGGAAGGGCTCTGAACCCACATGTCAGTTGCGGGGGAGGAGATCAGGAAAGGACGTTGAAGAAGTGGAGACCTAAGTTGAAGACCTAGGAGTTAGCCAGGCCAGTAGTGCTTGAAAAGGTGTCTTAAGACAAGAGAAGCCACCAGTGAAGTCCCAGTGGTAGGAAAGTGTGCAGCATATTCTGAGCCTGTACACACACCCAGGGCATTGCTTAGCAGGTAGGAGTGGTGAGAGAGTAGGCTGGAGTCCCAGAAGGGAGGCCAGGTAGACCTTGGTGAGCACTGGACTCTGTTCAGGTGCTGAGGAGCTGGCAAAAGGTTTTAAGTGGCGGAGTGGCATATTCAGATATTTGGTCTAGCTGAGTAACTTTGGGTGCTCTGTGGCAAATGGATGGGACACCAGTGAGGTGGCGGTTGTGGTCATCTAGGAGCAGGATCAGAGTGGCCTATTGACTGGGATGTCTGTGAAGTGGGATCCTTTCCAGCCAGTAACTGGAAATGTGTATAAAGGCAGAAGTGAGTGTGCTGCATTTGAAACATTGAGAAATCTAGTACATAGTACTGTCTCTTTTATAGCTTTCTTTTTTTTTTTTTTGGTTTTGGTTTGTTTGTTCACTAACTTGGAAAACTGATGTGGAAATGTCCCTTTGGCTTCAGTTACCTGAGCAAAAGGGGCCGGGCCTTGCCAATCCCTCCTCTTAGGACAGAATTGCTCCCAGTATTGATCATTGTGTTCTGAGATGAGGGAGCAAATTGTGCAGGAGGCCAGGTCAGTGCCAAGGTGGGCGGGAGGAATTGGAGCAGGAAGCGTGCCTATTTGTGCCCAGCAAAGCCACAGTAGAACTTTCTACTGTGGCTCTATGCTACTTCTTACCAACCTTCTCCGTGTGCTTCCTGGAGAGTCCTTGGAGTCAGAACCTGTTTTTTTTTTTTTTTTTGGAAACCCAGACACTTCACTTCCAAGAAAATGCTGTCCAAGAAAACTCATCCTTCCCTCCTTCTCATGAACATTGTGTAGAGGTGCGTCTTCTCTTTCTTTGAGCTTCTCCACTCAGGGTTTAGGGGAGGTGATATTCTGTATTTGGGTTTGACTCTGGGTACTGCAACATTAAGCTATTTAGATTTCATCCTTCCTGCCCCTCCTACCTTTCCAGAAACCCACAATGGATTTGCTAGAAATAATGGAAAGTCCTGTTTAGACAGGATATAACCATTTCTCAGCTAGAGGATATTGTTGGAATGAAGAAAGATAAATGGGGAGAAGGGAACTCACATTGCTTTGGCACTTGCATTAAGCCATGTACTGTGTTGGGAACTTATTTATATTATCACGTTGAATCCACAGAACACCATACAAGGTAAGTATTGTTATCATTTTACAATGAGGAAACTGATGCTTAGAGAGCATAAAGCCTTGGCCAGGGGCACATAGTTGGGAAGCCGGGGCTAATTCATGCCTGGCCTCTTTCTGGTAGTTTTCCTTTTTTAATTGTACCCTCCTCAGTGTTACCTTGGGGATCTGAAAAGGTTCATGTAGCTTCTAAGTCAACGAAGTGATTCCTGGAGAGCAGCTTCCGTATGAGAAAAATCTAGCTAATTATTTCAGTGTTTCTGGAATGCAAGCTCCGTCCTGAGCCATTTAGAAGACAATTTGGGATGACAAGCATGTGTCTCACAATGCTGTTCTGGCTGCCAGTGCTGTGCTGCCAGTTGTCATCTTTGAACAAACTGATGCAGTGCTGCTTTAATTCGTCCTCTTTTTGGAGTAAGAAACTTTGGAGGTGTGTGTCGTCCTAGAATTTTGCTGAGCAAATGGTAAAGAAAAGAAATAGGTCCTAAGGCTTGACTATTTCAGAGAATTTCTTGATTTATTGGACTGTCAGTGAATGAATTAGAATACATAGTGGTAGGCTGTCTTTTCTTCTGAGACACTGCAATTTCCTCCAATCTCTTGACTTTTCTAGAAGTTTTAATTCAAGTCCTTGTTGGGTGGGAGATAAAAGGGTATTGTTCTACTAGAGACTGACCTTGGCATGGAGATCTCATTTGGACTCACAGATTTCTAGTCTAGTGCTTGATTTTATATCCATACCTCATTACTGCATTCTTAGTTCCTTCTGCTCCTTGTTCCTCATGCCCAGTGTCCCACCCTACCCTTGCCCCGACTCCTCTAGAGGCCACAGTGATTCACTGAGCCATTTTATAAGCACAGCTAGGAGAGTTCATGGCTACCAAGTGCCAGCGGGGCCGAATTTTCACCTGTGTGTCCTCCCTTCTTCCATTTTTCATCGTTTGCCCCTTCCCCAGCTTTAACTTTAGCATAACTACTTGGGACTATTCCAGCATTAAATAAGGGCAACTGCTGCATGGGTGGCTGGGACACACAGAAAGTAGTATCCCTTGTTCATGAGAAGACCTTCTTGCCCTAGCATGGCAAACAGTCTTCCAAGGAGGCACCTGTGACACCCAACGGAGTAGGGGGGTGGTGTGTTCAGGTGCAGGTGGAACGAGGCCAGAAATGTGCATATGTGCTGCCTGTGGGAGCTTGTTTGTTGGTTTCACAGTTGATGCCCTGAGCCTGCCGTAGCAGACTTGTTTCTCCATGGGATACTGTTTTCTTTCCAGAGACACAGCTCTAGGGTTGTCCTTATTACCTGAGAGCCAGGTGTCGGTGGCATTTTCTTGGTGTTTACTCACACTCATCTAAGGCATGTTGTGGCTTTCCAGATTATGAAACTGTGCTTTATTTATTTATTTATTTATTTATTTTTTGGAGATGGAGTCTTGCTGTGTCGCCAGACTGGAGTGCAGTGGTACGATCTTGGCTTACTGCACCTCCACCTACCGGGTTCAAGCGATTCTCCTGCCTTAGCCTCCCGAGTAGCTAGGACTACAGGCGCCTGCCACCACACCCAGCTAATTTTTGTGTTTTTAGTAGAGACGGAGTTTCATTGTGTTGGCTAGGATGGTCTCGATCTCTTGACTTCATGATCCTCCTGCCTCGGCCTCCCAAAGTGCTGGGATTACAGTCTTGAGCCACCACGCCCGGTCATTGGTGCTTTTTATCATTTGAAGGACTCAGTTGTGTAACCCACTGAAACTTTAGTCTGTAAGGAAGTTCAGGGAATAGTATAAGTCACTCCAGGCTTGAGGCAAAATTTACAAATGCTGCTGATTTTCTAAGTAAGGGGAGGCATTTTCTTAGAGAAGAGTTAGATTTCTGGGATTCCACTATGCCATTTCCATCCTCAGTGTTCTGGCCACCTGAGAGAGGTCTGTTTTCAGAAATGCATTCTTCATTCCCAAATGATAACATCTATGGAACTAAAATGATTAGGACTGTAACAACTAGCTCCTAGCCTGCTGTTGGAACACCTCCCGAATCCCTCTTTGTGGGTGAACCCAGAGGCTGGGAGCTGGGGACTCATGACCCATTGAGAAGCAGTCATGACGCAGAGCTGTGTGTTGGAGGTCTCAGCTGAGAGGGCTGGATTAGCAGTCCTCACTGGTGTATGGCTTTGCAGCAATAACTGACGGCTGTTTCCCCTCCTGCTTTATCTTTCAGTTAATGACCAGCCACGGCGTCCCTGCTGTGAGCTCTGGCCGCTGCCTTCCAGGGCTCCCGAGCCACACGCTGTGGGTGCTGGCTGAGGGAACATGGCTTGTTGGCCTCAGCTGAGGTTGCTGCTGTGGAAGAACCTCACTTTCAGAAGAAGACAAACAGTAAGCTTGGGTTTTTCGGGGGGGTTCTCTCATTCTTCTTTGTGGTTTTGAGTTGCGAATTGGAGGAGGGAGGGAGGGAAGGAAGCTGTTTGGTTTTCACACAGGGATTGATGGAATCTGGCTCTTATGGACAGAGGACTGTGTGGTCCGGATATGGCATGTGGCTTATCATAGAGGGCAGATTTACAGCCAGGTAGAAATAGTAGCTTTGGTTTGTGCTGGTGCCCAGGCATGAGTTCTGATCCCTAAGACCTGGCACCAAATTGCCTGACCACCCCACTTTTTCCTTTTGCTGCAGCCCTGGGAGCCACTTGGCTCTCCAAAAGCCCCTAATGGGCCCCTGTATTTCTGAAAGCTGTGAGTAAAGCGAGTTAATGGCCCCACTCTTAGAGATCAATACTGGGTATCTTGGTGTCAATCTGGATTCTTTCCTTACAGATTTGTGTCAGGCCTGGAGGAATATAATAACTGAGACTTGTTTTATTTCTGCGGAGGGTTCTAAGCCATTCACTTCCCAGATGAGCCAATAATGCTTTGAGTAATCTGGAGATCATGTTTAATGCGCAGGTGAATGGAACTGTTCCACAGACGGATGTGAGGGCTGTAGGGCAGAGTGAACTCCCTGAAGCTCAGACGTCAGCTCTTTGTCTCTCTATCTCTGAACACCCTTCCTTAGAGATCCCATCTCTAGGATGCATTTCTCTGTAGTTAGTTTCTACGTCTCTTGTTCCTGGTCCGCCTTTATTTATTTATTTTTATTGGATTCTAAGCCCGTATCCCCACTTGGCTATCTTAATGCAGCTTCACATGTCTGTAACAAAAATGATCATCTTTCTGAGATTCAAAGGGCTACACGGGACTTTGGAGAGAATTTCATTCAGTTTTCCTCAAACTAGAATAATGCTTGCACTGTCTGTAAAAGAACAAAAGTGTCAAAGCACCCTTTTGTTCACTAAACTTCTTTTTTATTATAGTGTTACTTAAATATGTACATATGTAAAAGTAGATATAAACTTATAGGCTATTATTATACAACTACATGACCCACACATATTTACAAATTAAGTGCAAACAAAATTATCCAATCAATACCATTCAAATTAATACCTTAAATATGGTGAGGCAGTTGTTGTTCAGCCGAAACCAAATTATAAGTTGCATGGCAGTAAATGCCGTCGTGCTGAACGTTTGGAGTTTGGCTAGTCTATATTATCATGTACTAATGATTGAATTCTCCACCCATGTTTCTACTTGTACAACCTTAATTTGATGGTATTTGGCTTTCATTGGGTCCAGTCTCATCTTTTATAAGTTGAGTCCGCACCTGTTCCATTCTCATGAGTTTGCTACAATTATACTGGTGCCAACACAATCATAAACACAAATGTAGACTCGGGCTTTGAAATCTTGTGCCAGAACTTGGCTTTAAAGTAAGCATTTAAAAAATCCATATGTGTTTATTAGACTTGGTTTAGGTGACGATTGAAATGAAAATAAAGTGTTTAAAATCCTCCTAGAGAACTTAAATATAATCCCTCAGCAATGTGTATACAGGTCTTCATTTGAGAAAAACTGATTGTGTTCCGCCTCTCCTGTTACAAATGGGGAACCTGAATTCGCAGGTCTCTAGTGAGAGAACACGGACTAGAATCTATGGATCCTATCTGTTTTCTGTAATTGTAAAGTATAATAAGATAATATTATATTAATATAATAAAAGCAAACACTTAGAATGAGCTTCCATGTGCGAGGCACTACCTGATTAGGCATTATTAACTAGATTTATTCCTTTTAAGGCCCTGTGATGTACTGTTATTTCCACATGTTGTAGCTGGGAAATGTGCTACTCAGAGAGGTTAAGTAACTTGTCTGAGGTCCACACTACTAACAAGGAGCACAGCTAGGGTTCAAATCCAGATCATCTGACTCTGGAGCGAGCACTCTAACTCACTGTGCCAGATTGCTTTGCAGTGGTATCATTATTTTGCCTATCCCCCATCTGAGAATATTGAAGTTTCTGATTCCTTCCTTGCCTTTCTCCCTGCCTTCCATGGTTATTCCCAAGTCTTGGTGTTCTAGTCCTCTATGTCCGTCATTACTCTTATTCTTTCACTATGGTGTGGTCCAGGACTCCTGCCCCTTCTTATCCTGGTGGTAGGGGCCCATTTGCTGGGAAATTGTCTCTGCCATGGTTTATCCACGTTATGTGTCTGTTAATGAGTAGTGGGAAGAATCATATCATCTTGGCAATGAAAGGAGGGCTATGGCTCTGGGGTAGTCTAGTCTGAACCTCTTATTTTACAGATGAGAAAGCTAAGGTACAAAGCAGGAAAGGGATTTTGCCAAGGTCACCCAGCCAGCCACTGAGCTGCAACCAGAAGCTGAGATCCCTAGGACTAGGGCCAAGCCTCAGTCTGTCCCATCACAGTGACTTTTCTTCCCTCCTCCAAACTATTTGTATTTTTTATTTTTTTGCAACTGCATAGCAACTTGAAGGTAGCAGAAAGGGCAGAGAAGAGGTTTTCTGTGCTTAGCCAGGGAAGGAATCCTGCAACAGGATGTGGGGTTGGGTCATTCAAATTGGGCCAGACTCCACTGGTCTTGTTGCTTCTTGCTGGGTATTGCAGATGGGTTTAGAAGTGTTAGGATTAGAGAGATAGGCAGGTTTAGCCAAAGGCAGTTTGTAGCCTTATGGCAGAGTTGTTGTTAAAGAAGGAAGTGGGATGCAACACCCTGACACAAAGGGGCTTAAGTTGTTATACTTCTGCCTGCTAGCCTGTTTTCCTTACCTCCCTTCCTGATTTCTAAAGGAAGTGTATTTTGCTGAATCAGAAAGAAAAGTGATTTATTTCAGGTTGCTGATGCTTAGATTGTTAGAGTTGGAAAGATCTGGCTTGCACCTTGTACAATTGACAGAACTGGGGTTCAGGGGGGCACAGGTGTCCAGCGTTGGTCAGTCAAGAAAGTAGCACCAGAACCAGTCTCCTCGTGGCCCTCCAGTTGCAGATCCTTTTTTGCTTTGCTCTCTCTGTATGCTAAAGCTCCTGTGTCTCGGAATCTCAAGTTTTGACTGATGGCTGCTTCCCAATCCACCTGGTTTAGATTTCTAGATTATATTGTTTAGACATCAGAACCTCTTAAGGGTTGTGGGGCCACCTTGTTAGCTCACATAGTGAGAACCAGCCCTGCCCATTAGGTAGGGGAAGAAGTTAGCAGTCCATGATAGCTGTTGCCTGCAGTGTATGGAAGTTCATTGCGCAGTTCCTGTCTCCTGAGATCCTGGAGTGTATACGCTTGGCCTCAGAGCCCAGCACAGAGCCTGGCCCTTGGGACATGCTTAGTAAGTATTTACTGAATGAGTGGGAAATGTCTTAAGGCCCATTGGTTTGCAGGCCTTGAGGAGGCTCCCTTGCACTAGGGAGAATAGTAAGAATACGTAAATCCTGTCTGCTGCTGCCAGGAACATAGAAACACTATGTTTGGCCTGGAGCTGAGCAGTATACCCCAGAGCAACACTGTTGAAAGGCAGTGCTTGCCTTTTCATTCTGTGTCCTGGTTTGCTGGTAACTCCTGGGTCCCCCGCTCTCCTGTGCCCCCGTTATGCAGACTCACAGGGGATCATCAGCCAGGGTTAGTTTTCCGCTGTTTCTGTTAGGCAAAGAATAAATTGAATTGAGTTGTGAAAGTTGGGTGCAAAGCTCAGTTTGGTTCCAAAGTAACAGTTAACTTGTGTGGGTGGTAGGTATTCAGTACAAACAGGGCTGGGGACAGGAAGGGGAAGAAAACTTCAGAGATTTCAGGATCCTCATCTGGTTTTAGGCTGATCCAGAGGCCAAGGTCCCCATGGAACAAACTGGACAAAGTGAGAGTGGCCATATCACCTCTTTTCTTTTGCCTTTATTATTAATTTTCTCAAATAGATCTGACTAGTCATTTGAGAATGACTGGGAAAGTAGTTAATTGTGATTTTTTTTAAACTGAGTCTCACCCTATCACCTAGGCTGGAGTGCAGTGGCACGATCTCAGCTTGCTGCATCCTCTGCCTCCGGGGTTCACGCAATTCTCATGCTTCAGCCTCCCGGGTTCAAGCAATTCTCATGCTTCAGCCTGCCGGGATTACAGATGCACAGCACCACACCTGGCTAATTTTTGTGTTTTTAGTAGAGACGGGATTTTAGCATGTTGGCCAGACTGGTCTCGAACTCCTGACCTTGAGTGAGCCACCCACCTCGGCCTCCCAATGTGCTGGGATTACAGGCATGAGGCACTACCCCCAGCCAGAGTACCACTATTTGGGCATTCTTTAATGAAAAAGAATGAACTATCCAAAAATTAAAACTCCTCATTTATGAGCTTTTAGAGAATTTTGCAGAGTAGATGGAAACGCTCTGCATCCTTTCCCCACTTCAGGTTTCACCTGACACATTTCTTCCCTGTCCTTACTCCTGGACCGGCAGCAGTGGTCATGATTCCAATCCCAGCTTGGCCACCATCTGTCTCAATGGCCTAGGAAAACTCCTTTCTCCAGAGCTTTAGTTTTCTCTTCTACGGAATGAAGAAAGTTAAAACAAATAGAAATTTATTGTTTCATTTGGATAAATATCTATTAAGCACCTATTACTTGTGGGATGGTTAGCTGGGTATCTAGTGGTGAAGCAGTCAGGCATGAGTACTGTTTTCATAGAGCTTACAGTTCAGTGAGGCCAGCAGATGTGAAATGTATCATCATGCAAATAAAGATATAACTGTAAACTGTGATGAGGATTATGAAGGAAAAAAACCGACAAACTGTGGTACTGGTGTTAGCTACTAGCAGATGTGGTTAGGGATTTCATTTAGAATGACAGATCGTGACATTAAAGCTGAGAGCTCTGAAGTTCGAGCAATGGTGAGCCAGGCAAAGATCAGAGGCCTAGAGATAGGGAAATCCATTCCAGGCAGAGAGACTGGGGGTGCCTGTCCCCTAAGTCACAGAACAGAAGAAAGCCAGTGGCACTGGT